CCCCCAAAGATGGTCAACGCCCCCACGTCAGCAGGAAGCAGTCTTAAGAATTCGACGCCCTTATTCCTTAACCTGCCATGTCTAAACACCCCACCTTTTTTTAATAATAAGTAGAGGTGGGAATGAAAGGTTCAGGCATTATGCTGGCCTGCCCCTGTTACCTGGTGGAATCCACTCAGGCAATACCCTGGTCAGCCCAAGGTTCCATGGGAAAGAAGTCTGGAAAGGTGCAGAGGACCCCTTTAAAAGATAGGCCCCTTTAAAAGATAGGCCCCTGCACCTTTCTCTCTCTGCCCCTTTGCTCTCTCTCTGTCTCTCCCCCCCCCCCCCCCCCCCCCCGTCTCTCTGTTCCCCGCTCTCTCTCTCTATGGCGACCAGCCATGGCGGTCAGCCATTACCCTGTTCCTCTTCTTAGTTTACCCATTCTGTTGCGCCTTATAATAAACTTATAATCTTATGTCTGTCTCAATATTTCTCTTTTCTTCGTTTTAAACAAAAGAATAACAACAGGTACATGCAACTACACCTTGTCCCCATTTTTTTAAATTTATTTTTCCATGTGTGTGGGTGCACATGTGGAGGTCAGAGGACAACTTGTGGGAAGGATTGGTTCTTCCCTTCTATCATTTGAGCTCAGATATCAAACTCAGGTCATCAGGCTTGGCAATAAGCACTTTTATCTGTTGGGCCATCTTGCCAGCCCACACTCAGATTTTTTATATGGGTTCTGGAAATAGGATTTATGCTTACACAGCAAGCATATTACTGGCTGAGCCATCTCCCCAGGTTCTTAGTTCATCTCCCATCACAGTTTTTACATTTTTATTTCATTTTTAAGTGTAATGGTATGTTGACTACATGCATATCTGTGCACCATTTGTGTCTAATGCCCCAGGAAGCCAGAAGAGGGCACTGTATCCCTTGCAGCTGGAGTTACAGACAGTTGTGAGCAGCTACGTGGGTGCTGGGAACTGCACTTAGGTGCTCTGAGATTTAAACCATTGAGCCATCGCTTCAGTCTCCAGCCTGGATTTTTAAAGACTTAAGGATCTTTTTTTTCTTTTCACCCATCCCCCAGCCTGTAAAGCTGAGCATACTGCAGTACTGGGACTGGCATGTAGTCATCTGGGTTAGCCCACAGAGCCTCACATGGGAAGAGGTGAGGATGGCAATCACTAAGGAGAAAAGCCCGGTGGCCTCAGACAGGAGCAAAGCCCAAAATGGCACAGGCAAAGAGCTGCTCCATGAGAGATGGGTTCCTGCCATCACCAATAATCAAGTTGCTGAACACCATTCCAATACCAGGCTCTCATTAGGCCACACCAACTACAGTGGCCTCAATACCAATTAACTTAGCTGCTGCACCAGTGTCCAGGGAGACATCACCAGAACTCTTGTCTGGCCACCTGGAGAGGGCAGCAGCTGCAGGAAGGCCGTCCAGGTGGGGGCCTCTGGTCTTCTCAGGAGGGAGGCAGACACAGACCCGATCAGAACCCTGATGCAAGAGCTGAACAGGACTGGAGAAATAAGCAGTGCCTTAGCCTTGGTGGTTTACATGTTTTACATCTTTTTTAGCCTCCCAGTTTTAGCCCTGGGTCTCAGCTTCTCTTACCCCCACCCCACCTCTTTTTCAAGACAGGGTTTCCTTGTGTAAAAGCTTTGGCTGTCTGGAACTCAATTTGCAGACCAGACTGGCCTTGAACTCACAAGAGATTCACCTGCCTCTGCCTCTGCCTCCAGAGTTCTGGGATTAAAGGCATACGCTACCCCTGCTCAGCTTCCTCTTTCTTTTTTAAAGATATATTTCATATTTAATTATGTGTATGAATGTGGGTATGTGCAAATGTGTGCAGTGCCCTCAGAGGCCAAAGACATCGGATTAGGTGCTAGAGTTACAGCCAATTGTGAGCAGCCTCAAGTGGGTGCTTGAAATCCAACTTGGGTCCTCTACAAGAGCAGTATGTTCTATTAACTACTGAGCCATCTTTCTAGACAGATACCCACTCCCACAACCCAGGGTTTCAGGTATCACTGTGCAGCCCAGGCTGGCCTTCAACTGCTACTCCTCTTGTCTCAGCCTCCCTGTGCTCAGAATAGAAGCATCCTCCCCCACACTCAACATCTGTCAGTCTTCCACAGGACATACCTTTTTGGACGGGCTCACTCTGTTTTATCATGGAAATGCCACCAACGATAACACTAGGTGAAACACAAGGCCAGTGTGTAATAAAGATTTCATTGATAGACCAACAAGGCGGCTCAGTGAGCAAAAGTGCTTGCTGCTATGCCAGATGGTCTGAGTTCCCTCACCAAAACCCACATGGTCGGAGAGAACCAACTCCCCAAAGTTGTTGTCTGACCTCCAAAACACCACACGTCGAGGCACCTGAGACTGCATATACAAAAACAAATGTTAACTTTTTTCTTTGAGTGAATAGATAAATGCTCAGCTGGTATGGAGAAAGCTTGCAGAGGAAGCTCCAAGGGCAAGGAGTCAGTGTGGAGGAAGTAAGTGGGGCGGGGGGGGGGGGTTACCTCACAAGTCCTGTTCTTCAGGTAAGGCTTCTCTGACTTCCATTCCTGAATGATTGCGTGGACCACTTTAGACTCTCCCTGCCAAGGAGAGGAGCCCAGTCACTTCTTCAGGTCACTTGTTTGCCCCACAAATGCCTCAGCTCACCTGTGCACCCTCACCTGAAGTAGGTCTTTTAGCTGCATGTGGAGAGCCTTGGTCTCCTCTTGAAGCTGGCTGATGGTGTCTTGGTTCTTCTTCATGTTCCATTGGGAGCTCTCATAAAAGGCCTTCCGGTCACCCTCTGGGGCAGACAGAGGTCACTGTCACTGGGCAGGTGGGTGACACTTCCCACAGAAAAGACCTATTTGGTGGTGGTGGTGGTGGTGGTGGTGGTGGTAGGCTTTTGTTTGCTTTGTTTTCATTTTTAGATAGGGTTTCTTGTAGCCCAGGCTAGCCATAAACTTATAACATAGCCAAGGCTAGCCTTGAACTCTTGCTCCTCCTCGGCCCATCTCCCAAGTGTTGGGATTGTAGATGTGCAGTCATATCAGACTCAGTCTATGCAGAGCTGGGGTTGGAACGTGCCAAGGAAGTACCCTGCCAGCTGAGCTACAGCCCCAGAACTCTTTTACTTAAAAGGAGCAAGAAGAAGACGAAGAAGAAATGCACGTGCTTGCATGAGTATACCCACACATGTAAATAGGGAGGCCCATGCGCCTATGCACTTGGAGGCCAGAAAAACATTGGGTGTTCTCCATATCACTCTGGGTCCATTCTTCCCTCTTTTAAAAGACTTTATTTTAGAGGCTGGAGAGAGATGGCTTAGCAGGTTAAGATTCACTACTCTTCTTGCAGAAGACTCAAGTTCAGTTCTAGCACCCATATGGTAGCTCACAACTGCCTATACTCAAGTTCTAGGGGTCAGAATTCCTTGTTTGGCCTTCTTGGGCACCTGCACGTATGTGTATTACCTCTGTTCTCCCCAACACATATACAGTATTAAAAATAAAATCTTTAAAATTAAAAATAAAATCTTTAAAAATAAAAATAAAAATTTCAAGTGTGTATGTTTGCATATGTGTGGATGTGTGCATTGTCTGCAGAAGCCAGAAGATGGCTTTGAGTCCCCTGGAGCTGGTGGAGTTAGAAGTGGTAGGGGACTGCTGGACTGGGTGCTAGGAACTGAGCTTGGGTCCTCTGTAAGAACAGTGTGTAGACTTAAGTCCTGAGGCATCTCTCTAATCTCCTATCCATTAGTTCTGGAGGCAGAGTCTCTCTGTGAATGATGGGGTTGGGGTCTCTGCTAGGCTGAAAGCAGTGAGGCTCCGTTTTCTACCCAACTAGGAGCTGAAGTTAGAGGCATCTACCCAGCTTTTTATGTGGTGCTAGAATTGAAAGCACCCATTTTCAACTTTGAAGCAAGCACTTTCAAATTCTTAGCCATCTCTTCACCAGCATCACCCCCTCTGGTCTTGTTTTTCTCAGAGAAAGTCTCTTACAGCCCAGGATGGTATGGAACTCACTATGCAGCCAAGGCTGGCCTTGAACTCTTGATATTCCCATATCCAAGCCCCAAGTGTTGAGATACCGATAGGCGTGTATCCCACATTTCTGGCACTTAAGACCTTTTGCAAACCATTTTTTGTTGTTGTTGTTTGAGCCCTTTAATAAGTCTCAGTATGTAGCTCAGGCTAGCCTGGATCCTCCTGCCTCAGACACCTGCTATGCACCATCAAGCCCAGTCAACAGTATTATGGTGGAAGTGCCAAGTATCTTAATGTAGTTATGATACAATATACTAAAATACCACTCTGTATCCCATAAACATGTATAAGTATTTCATATCAGTCAAAACCATATGAGCTAAACAGGTGTGGTGGTGCACTTGAGAGGCAAAGGCAGGCAGAGCTCTGTGAGTTAGAGGCTACCCAGGGCTATACAGTAAGATCCTGTTTCAAAAACAAAGCTGGGAGGTGGTGGCCCATGACTTTAATCCCAGCACTCAGGAGGCAGAGGCAGGCAGATCTCTCTGAGTTTGAGGCCAGCCTGGTCCACAAAGCAAGTTCCAGGACAGCCAGAGCTGTTATACAGAGAAACCCTGTCTTGAAAAAAACAAATAAGCAAACAAACTCAAGCAAATAAAAAGCAAAGTTCAAAGGCTGGAGAGATGGCTCGGTGTTGAAGAGGACAGCTTCACCAGAGGTTTGATGTCCAGCACCCACAAGGCAGCTCACAAGAGTCTGTAACTTCAGTTCCAGGGGATCTGATGCCCTCTTCTGGCCTCCAAAGGCACGAGGCACACACATGGTGCACAGATATACAAATACAGGTAAAACATTCATATGCATAAAGTTTTAAAGATTAATTTAAAAAAACAAAATCTATAGGGCTATGGCTGTAGCTCATAACTAGCCTTCATGAGAGCCTGGGTCTGATCTCAAGAAGCACAAACATGAATAAACAAACCAGTGTGGTGACACACGGCTTTAATCTCAACACTCAGAAGACCTCAGCAGGAAGATTTCTGAATTCAAGGCTGGCCAAGTCTACAAAGCTAGTTCATTCCTTTACTCTCTTAGCATGAGGAAGGTAGAGGTAGGAGGATCAGACAGACACTCAAGGTCCCAGGGAACAGACTCAGGTCATCAGGCTTTACAGCAAGCATCCTTATCTGTTGAGACATCAAGACATTGTGCTGACCTACATTTCCTTGGCCTGTCTTGTCTTCCTTCTTTCTCTTCCCTCCTCCTCCCTCTTTTCCCCCCTCTTCCCGCCCCACCCCCAGGGTCTTACTCTGTAGCTCAGGTTAGCTTTTAACTCCCTAGACACCAATACTATCCTCAAACTCATGGCCTCAGCCTCCCAAGTGCTGCAATTACAGGTGTATGCTACCACACCTTGTATACTTCACAATATTTTTAAACTAAAAGAATATTAAGTGCTGGGTGGTGTAGTGCCCACCTTTTATTCCAGCACTCAGGAGGCAGAAGTAGGAGGATATAGTGAGTTCCAGGATAGCCAAGGCCACACAGAGAAACCCTGCCTCAAAAAACAAAACAAAACAAAACAAACAAACAAACAAAAAAAGTTCAGTGAGGCACAGCTAAGTGCTCCAGTGCTTGCCTAGCATATGCAGGGCCTAGGGTAGAGAACCAAGCCCAGGCTAGCTTTAGACTGGTTACATCCCCAAGGATGACCTTGCACTCCTAATCCTCCTGCTCCCCAAATTCTCCAATTGCATGGGTGTGCTACTGTGTCTGGCTTTGAATACACACACACACACACACACACACACACACACACACACACACACACACACACAGAGAGAGAGAGAGAGAGAGAGAGAGAGAGAGAGATATCTGGCTGGAATTCCATAGTAGACCAGACTGAACTTAAATTCAGAGATCTACCTGTGATTAAAGGCATGTACCACCACACCCAGCCTGAAAGATTACTTTTGTGGGGAGAAGGGTTGGAGACAGGGTTTCTCTGTGTAGCCCTGGCTATCCTGGATCTCACTTTGCAGACCAGGCTGGCCTTGTAACTCACAGAGATATCTGCCTGCCTCTGCCTCCAGAGTGCTGGGATTAAAGTTGTGTAATACCACAGCCTGGTTTAAGATTACATTTTAACAATAAGAATAACAGCATACTAGGGTTTTCCAAATGCTTCATAACCAACATTTGGTCTTGATAGTTCTTTGCTGTGGAGCTATATTAGGCTGTACAACATTCAAGGCATTAATAAACCCATATTCAGCAACACGACAGCCAAAAAAGTCTGCTACACACTTTGCTCAGTGGTCTCGGGGAAAAAACATCATTAACTCCCTCCATGGAAGCCACTAATTTTCATTTCCTACTGTGTAACAATATGCACTATTTTCAGCATTTCATGAATTTCAAGTACTACATTGTAGGTTACTATGCCCATATTATAGATGGAAAAACTGAATACAATTAAATTACTCCTAGTTCTTCAAGAGCTAACAGCTACTATGCAGAGCTAGGATTCAAACTCAAAAGAAACAAACTCTCCTGGGGCTGTAGACATAACTCACTAAAGTGCTTGAGTAGCATGTATGAAGTCCTGGCTCCCAGCCTCAGTGCCTCACAATCCAGGTATCATGGCACAAGCCTATAATCCATGAGGTGGAGTTAGGTCTCCTTAGAGTTCAAGCCAGCCTGGGCCACATGAGACCAAGTCTCAAAAATAATAATTAAATAAATAAATAAAAATTGGGTGGGAGAAGCTGGGCATAGTGTCACACACCTTTAATCCCAGCAGTTGGAAGGCAGAGGTAAGCAGATCTGAGTTCAAGGCCAGCCTGGTCTACAGAGCGTGTGCCAAGACAGCCAGGGCTACATAGAAAAATCTCATTTCAAAAAACCCAAAGACAAAAATAAATAAGCAAATAAAAAACAGAATTAGGCAGAAGATATGGCTCAGTGGTTAAGAGCATTTGCTGTTCCTGCAGAGGGCCCAAGGTTAGTCTCCAGTACACACACTGGTCAGTTTATAATGCCTGTAACTACAGCTCCAAGAGATCCACTGCCGTCTCCTGGTTTCTGAGAGTACTTCACTTGGTCCACAGATACTCAAAACAGAACAATAAATAAATAAAATAAGAAAAAAAGAACTCTAGAATCTGTGCTTTTCACCCACACACATGCACATTGGAAGAGGTAAAATTACGACGAAATGTGAAAGAAAGGTAAGGAGAAGTATGAACAAATTTGAGTGTTTGCGTCTACAAGTTAGTCACCTAGATTCGTACTGGTTAAACGCCTGTCACAAGGTGCCTACTCGGAAGCCCCTGTTGATCCCTGATTCTTCTGTGCCCTCTGCAGCCATCTTACCTAACAGTTGGATTTTCCTTTGTAACTCAATCATCTGTGCGTGCACAAAAGACTTCGTCGTATGATAGGAGGCTTTCCCCTTGAGACGTTGTGCTGGCCAGGCCTGTGCCCGGCCTAAAGCCTTGCCTCGGTGGCTCTGAACCTTAGTGCCCTTGGCTTTGGAAGAGGGAGCTGAAATTTGCTCCTGGCTAGACACAGCGTGGGTGGCGGCTGCCCAGCACAGGGGAGACGTCATGATGATTGGGTTGAGGTCAGGGAGCCTCTAAAGAGTAGGAGCAACTACAAGTTGGCCTCTTTGGTCCGGGTTCCTCCCTTCACACGGGTTCCCTGAGCTCTGGAAATGCACTTTTGCTAACTGCTTGGCTGGGGGCCTGTGAGCATCTCCCGGTTGCTAAGTAACTTCCTCCCCCTCCCGCGTTCCCAAGGAAACCACCTGCAGTACATCCCCCCACGGCTCTCACTGGCTGGTGACGTTCGGAGGGGCGGTTCCACAAGCAGGATTCGCGAAGGAGAGGTCACTCCAGCGCTCACGTGTTCGCTTCTCTCCGACGGCTCG